TTTTTCCTCAACAAAATTTTTTCCTGGTGGGTTTTTTTGGGGTGGTGTGGGAGGGAGGGGTGTCTGGTATTTTTTGTTAAACCATCTGCCAACCCTACCAACAGTGAAAATACGTGCAATTTCTCTCCAAACTGAAAAAAGTCTAAAATAATTTAAAAAAAACCTCAGGTTGAACAAACGGTTTCATTTTGGCGAAACCCGAATGTTTTGCTTTTGCTTTTGCATGTTTTTTTTAAACATGTCATGCAAGAACAGTTTGCAACAAAGTCATTGCAAACCAGCAAATCAAAGCACTTGGTTTTGACAGCCCTGAACTGTGTCGATGTCTTTGGGATGATTTTTTGTTGGTTGCTTGAGGCAGTGATTCATGAAAGGTCTTGATGTTGCCAAAGCTGCTTTTCTCTCCGCAAAAAGTTTCTTCCAAATTGTCTCCCAGTTTGCATCAGAACCCAGGAGTTTGCCCAGGTGTAACTGCTGGGAACTTTGTAGACCAAAGGTGGGCAACGGAGGCTAGTGAGTGGGCCGCAGGAGTGGCCCTCCCTCTCGGGGGGGGGGGGCTGGGATTAGGGTAGTTTTGCTAACTGCATTTGCATGGTTAGAATCTGTGCCAATTGCACTGTGGCAGCGCTTTGATTGGATGCAGAGGGAGCGCACGGCTCTCCCAGGTTTTGTTGGATGTAGTCAGCCCAGTCCTTTCTGCTGCCCTTGCTCTACATGCGTGTCACTCCGACAATACCGGTTGGAAAAAAACTGGCAGAGATGGAAATGGGGATGTTAAACTTAGCTGAATCAATGAATTGACGGATTTTCCATCGACCAGTCGATAAGCAGGGGAGCTGCAGCGGAGTTAGCTCCCAGCCCCGGGCTCTACATTTTAAGTGTATTAAGAGCCGGCAGGCTGACGCGCAGCAGAGGGGACCCCGCGTGAGCGGGGACAGCTGTTTCCTGGCTTGTGCCAGATGGAAATGGGGATGTTAAACTTAGCTGAATCAATGAATTGACGGATTTTCCATCGACCAGTCGATAAGCAGGGGAGCTGCAGCGGAGTTAGCTCCCAGCCCCGGGCTCTACATTTTAAGTGTATTAAGAGCCGGCAGGCTGACGCGCAGCAGAGGGGACCCCGCGTGAGCGGGGACAGCTGTTTCCTGGCTTGTGCCCCCCCCCCGTGTTTTAGCCTTTTCAACATATTAAGAGCCTGACGGCTTCTGAAATAGCTGATTCCCAGCTCACTCCCCCTGCTGTGCTCCAACCTTTTTACATTTAAGGCTGAAGCGCAGCGGGGGGGACCTGGCACAAGCCGGAAATCAGCTGTCCTGGCTCGCACCGGGTCCCCCCTCTCCACTGCACTTCTGATTTTTAAAGGTATTAAGAGCCGGCAGGTGTGACCCAGCTCTTAATAATACCCTGGTGGCTCTTAATACATTTAAAAAGCAGAGGCGTGGCGTGAGCTGGGCTCGAGCCCGGTCTCCGCTATCCCCCTGCCTCCTGTGGCTCCCCTCCCAGCACCAGCTCCTACCAGTGAAGTGGGGAAGCAATTAGTCGAGGGACTAGTCGACTGGCCGATACGCTTTTGCTTATCAGATAGTCGACTAGTTGTGACGGCGGGTCGGGTTTTTCCCCGTCTCCTGCACCCCCGTAATGGCACGTACAGACTCCACCAGCTAGTAGACTAGAGGGAGTTTGTTGCTTCTCCAGGATACAGCACAGCACAGATGTAATCCGGTTACAGGAACTGGGGCTAGGAGGCCTCAGTGCCCCCCTTGAGATGGGGGGTGGCTGGGCCCTACAATCCCAGCCCCCTCCCTAGCTCCTTCTCCCCTGCTTCCCAGCCAGAAAACTAAAGACCGTCCCTTCCAGCCCTGCCCCCCTCCCCCCCCCCCCCCCCCCCGTTTATTGCTTCTCCAGGATACAGCACAGCACAGATGGGACCTACAATCCCAGCCCCCTCCCTAGCTCGTTCTCCCCTGCTTCCGAGACCGAAACTAAAAACCGTCTCTTCCAGCCCTGCCCCCCAGCCAGGGGCGGCATTCCACCTTCCTTTGTTCCTCTTCCTGGGTGGTAACTGGTAGAACAGGTTCCCTTCCTGTCCCATCAGCTACTCGGCTGGGCCTTGGTACAAACAGCAGCCAGTGGGGGTCCCCCACTACCCAAGCCTAGCAACCAGCAAGGTACCCACACTACATCACACTAGTTGCTTGCATCCCTAGATGGAAACCAGCCGAATTTGGCACGTTGGCGACCGCAAACCATACATCTCCCAGGCCACACACAGAAGCCCAGGGGTGCTGCATGCGGCCTGCTGTTGCAAGCAACCCTGTTGACAACGTTCCAGGAAGAACAGGCTCTAGCTGACTCTCCCGTAGCAGAGCTGTCTTTGCAGGGCAAACCCTAGTAAAGAGCAGAGCAGCTTGTTTTAGGGCCGGTCTCTCTTAAAATGCTGGATTGGCTCAGATGCCCCGATGCAGCAGTGCCGCTGTAACTCTCCAGTAAAGATGCTCTACCCCAAGAAACAATCGCCATGGTGGTAAGAGAAATTCTCCTGCCCTTCTGGTGCTGTCCACACCAGCATTTAGGTCAGCGTAGTTACGTCAGGTAGGGGTTGGATTATTCAATTCTAGTTAGCCCTGATCAGCACAACAGAATTCCTCTGGTATAAGTCTCTAAGGCCATGTCTACACTAGGCTGTGTCCAGACTCCATGCCTCCGTCGACGGAGGCATGTAGATTAGCCAGATCGGAAAAGGGAAATGAAGCCGCGATTAAAATAATCGCGGCTTCATTTAAATTTAAATGGCTGGGGCCCGCCCC